AAGACAAGCAAGAAATTTTGGCAAATTTTTAAAAGAAGGCACTCAAAAGAAGCCTAAGGATGGATCTAGAATGAATTACAAAAAAAAAAAAAAACTTAAGTTGAATCACTTATAAGCTTAATTTGAGCTTTGCTAAATTATACACTCCCTTAGTCTCTTTTAATACATACACATTTCAATTCCACTTTGTTTTTAAGGATTGTGGGACTTATGTAAGAATTGCAAACATATTTTCAACTTTCTTTTCTTTTGGTCTTGGCTTTTCCAATTCAAGTTCTTTGTATTTTCAATTTCCAATTTCAATTGTTCTTAGACTTAAGACTTTTTCAAATCAAATTTAAACTCAAAATTTTATGACATTATTTCCACATAAGTCCAAACTTTATCATAGGATATTAATCCACAATTGATTCAAATTTCAAAAATTAAAAGAAGTCTAGACCAATCTCAGCTTGTACAAGAATTTTATGTTTAGAATTTTGCTAATGATCTAATAGCAAAATAATATACTCAATGGTACAAGCCGACATACATGGTTGGGTTCCTAGTATAAAACTTGGTTTTATTATTTTTCTCAACAACAGTTTCTATTTTCTAACATATGTGGGACAACATCTATGGAATTATGAACATTTAATGACTAAACATGACTATCTAAGACAACATGGAAGATTATAAAATTGAAAGCTAAGTAATAAAATTTTATGGCTACGTATACAACATATTTAAGAATTCCTAAACAATTGATTCAAGAAAGGAACAAAGTAATGAATCAATTAAAAAGACTCTATGACTAATGACATATGACTAAATTAAAAGGACTAAAAAAAAATGGCATACAAGACGAAAATTCAAAGACAAGAAAGAAGGAAAAATGAAGGTATTTATCTCTTGAAGACCTTCATGTCTAGCTCATAATACCAAATTGATGGAAATATTCTCCCTCCTTTCACCATGGATGACGCCCAAAGCCTCACACATTTAGCACCCAAGGTGAACCAAAATTCTTTTCCAAGTTTCTAAAAAAACTTGGCACTAAATCCTCCAAGGAAAGTTCCTTGTTAGGAGAATAGGAGAAAGAAATATCCAAAGACACTTGAAAAGTTAATTTGGGGTACAAGCAAAATATGCAAGTTTCACACACAAGTTTTGACTTCATTCCAATGTGATTCAAAAAGCTACATAAGGGGTCATATATATAGTTGTTCCCCTCTTATTCACTCACTCGCCTAAGGAATGTGAGACTAATTCTGCCTTATACAAGTGATGGCCGAAATTTCTAGCTTCAAGTCCCACCTAGACCACTTTTATTCAATACTGTTATAAATTTGCACAACGAATTAATGACAATACCAAACTAAATTATTTGTCACATAACCAAAACTCCAAATCAAATTGAATCCAAATACTAACATCTAAATTGAAAACCAATTCACCAAATTAAATCTAAGTATAATACAATAGGAAACTATCATCATTTTCAATCTCATAGAAACTAATTATCAAATAACAATAAACATACACAATCACATATTCTAATTTTCTGCAATGCAAGTAACATGACTAAGTTACCTTCATAACCTAGATCTTCTAGCCTAAAATATTATGAAAATTGAAAAATAACAACTTAATTCACTAACCTCAATCATAGTGTCTCCTAGCTGGACAATTATCAAAACTCTTAAATTCTCAAGAAGTCAAACCCTACTTATTGAAAATCTCAATCATCAATTTGAGTATATTATAATGTTCCTAAACTACTTAAGATTTGTTTGACAAAACTCACATGCATGCATCATGAAATCCATATGCAAAACCCTCAAAATTATATGTAAATGCTCTAAAAATGAATAACAAAAACTTACTCTATTAAAAATTCCGATAGATTATAATTGTTCCACTAGACTCCAAAAACATTATGGTGTGCTTAGATTTAGAAAGAAAAAAAAAGAGTAATAGTGAAAATGAGAAATCTAGAGAGAAATCAAATAAAAATTCCTTCATTTAGTTTTATTTATTTACTTATATTGACATTAAATTTGAATTTATTTTCTAAGTAAAATTATATAATTTTACCATACAATAAAAAAAATATTTTAATAAAATTGTTACGCTTAGCGAAAGTTTTTTTTGTTGGTATCTTTTTTGCAATTAATAAAAAAATTAATGATATACTCTTTATTTTTACTGATTTAAATTAATTTATATGAGTTCTCTTCTTTCTAATAAGATGTCAAAATAGGTTTAGTCAGATGGAACAGTCTTAAAGACTCGAGAAGTAGGTGAGACAAAAAAATTTGTAGTCTAAATTGAATCAGTCCTATTTTGGTATGGCCTATTCGGGTTATGACCTACACGAGCTTAGGCCAAACTAGTGCATAAGCTTATGGATCTGTATGTGTTATAGAATAATAGTATTTTTTTAAATAAAAATAAAAATAATAGTAATTATTAAAAACTATATATGTATTATAAATTAATTTGATAGAAATTCACTTATTCTAAGAGCAAATATTAGAATAAATCTATAATAATAAGTTAGTTAAAGATCTAATGATTAAGATTAATTATTATTTTTAATTAATAAATGGCTAAAAATAAATAATAATAATAAAAAAAAAAAAAATAATAATAATAATAATAATAGAGAGTAAGTTTTTAATCCTTATTTTAAAAATCATTCAATCTTAAACAAAAATTAATTTCATTTATAAAATTAAAACTCTCAACATATATTTTTATTTTTATTTAAATATTTTTTTAATTAATTAATTTTGGATAAATATGTTAATATTTTATTTTTAAAATTTAATCGTGTTAAAATTGGTGTGTTAGTTCATTGCTCATAGATCACAATAGACTTAAAAAATTTTGTCCGTTTTAAAATATTGATATGGATTATCAATTTTTTTATTTGGCCCAAATAGGATTGGATATTCTGTTTTAAAAACACTACTTTTTAATATCTCCTTTCAAACACATTAGTTTGATTTAAAATTTTGTACAGAGTGGTGAGATTGTCTTATAGAAGAAAATAATGGAATCATTGTAAAAACAAGAAGTGAGAAATGAGGAAAATACGTGAAAATATTTGTTTTGTTTAATAACAGATGATAATATATTAATTGGTTTGTTTTTATTCATTGTTAATTAGGGTAGTATATTTAGTATTTTTACGTCAAATACATGACTAGTGAATTATATTTTTAAAAAAGTATGTTGTTTTTAAATACAATTTCATAACTAATGTATCTTCTTAGAATTATCATTAGATAATTAGATAATGATCATCTACTACAAGGGATAAATATTTTTTTAATCATTCATAATTAATTTTATTATTTTATTTATTTTAAGATTTTTTTAATTAATATCTTTATATACATTTTCTTTTATTTTAATTATAATAAAAATGTTTAGTTAGTATGGTTAAGGATTTAAGGTTTAATTAAAATAATATCATTAATTTATTAACTATCTATTTATACTTGGTTGACAGTAAAGTTGATATTATTATAGTAATTAATTAATGAGTAATATAATAAAAGATATTTAAATAGTCAAAATAATTGAATTTTTTTTTAAGAAATGTTCTTTTTAAAAGAGTGAAAAATGAAAATACTTCAATCATAGAAATATAAAAGAAAATTAATAAAAAAACATAAATTAAATAAAAAAACAGAGAAAGAAATCTAAATTATTAAGATCGAAAATTTAAATACTATTTTCAAGTTATTTATAAAATATTGTCAAGTGTAAAATGTACTTGAATTATTTTAGTGTATAATAAAATGTAAGTTTTTCATAGTCTTCTAATCATTATAATCTCCATCATGCCTAAGTTATTCTTTTTTTTTCCTACTTTTTTTTTAAGTAAAATAAATCCTTAGAATTTTATTTTAATAATTATGTGAATAAATATATTTTTTTCATATCCACCAGAATGTAAAAAAGAAGAAATAAAAAAGCATATAATTTTTTAAAATGATATAGGTTACTGATGGGTCTCAATGTCTTATATATGTATATGCATTTATAATGCTAAAGATATGGAAAAATGTCAAAATAAAAATTTTGGATAGCATGCTTGTATGGGGAAGAAACTGGATGTTGGTATATTGAAATTGTGTGAGGGTGAGTCGGAGAAAAAGAAAACAACAACAACAACAACAATAATAATAATAATAATAATAATAATAATAATAATCATTTACATTTATATATATATATATATATATATATATATATATATATATATATATATATATATATATATATATATATATATTGATAAATTAGATTTAATCCCATTTGAGACTTGAGCTGTTCTCATTCCCATGGTTACAAATGGTGTAGTTTCAATTTGTGTGATTTTATCTACTTTACTTACCCCTTACCTATGATGAGGAGGCTATGATCCCTATCCTAAAAAATTAAATGAAATGGTTGATGACATTTTCGGACGTGAAAATTCATGGGCAATGGAATATTTTTCTTCTAATATGATATAATGATGAAATAATGCTAAAACGTAGGTTTGGGGAGAACGTATAATCAGAGAGAATGGGACCAGGCCCACTTTAAGAATTCCGCCGTAAGGAGCATAAGCCCATTAGATTACAGCATAGGATTGGATGCAAAACCCAATTTAAGTGGAAGAGCGGGCTCAAATACAAACACACCCCTATACAGTTAGAGTGCCTCACTATTATTGAAACGTTGGCGGCTCGCTACGCTCTGATGTTATTCATCGCAATTGCAAACCACCTTGGTTCATTCCTCTTTCATTTTCTGTTTGTACTTTGTTTATATAATATATAATATAAAATTAATATATATTGAATTGTAACATAACATAATTTAGCCCTGGCCTGGCATGGCATGGCCTCAACCTGCTTCTTCTAGTTTCTAGGAGCTTCCATTGAGAGCTGCGAATTTATCATTGCGAAATTTGCGAAAGGATTGTGCACGGTGAGTGGGGGATTCAGATTAGGGTTTTGATGGGTACGGAGAGGAAGAGGAAGGTGAGCTTGTTCGACGTGGTAGACGAAACTGCCGCGAAGATGGCCAAATCGAACGGCGGGTTCGTCGGCAACAACCTCGTCAACCGATGGAACGGGAAGCCTTATTCGCAGAGGTACCACGATATTTTGGAAAAGAGGAAGACCCTCCCCGTCTGGCACCAGAAGGAGGAGTTCTTGCAGGTTTTGAAGGACAACCAGACTCTCATTCTCGTTGGCGAAACCGGTAGTGGAAAAACCACTCAGGTTAGTTTCTTTCTACATTCTAACGTTTTGTATCGCTTTTGCTTTACCTTCTGCCATGTTACTTGCACACTAGGAGTAACTTTAAAACATTAAGGACCGCCTTGTTTAAAATATAAATCGGTAGAGAACAAATTGTACGAAGCGGACTTGGTGTGAAAGCTAGATTCATTATCAGATAATATTGGTTATTTGTATTTTTATATGCATGCTAATTCTATTCTGTGTTTTAATGCGGTGAATTTCTAATGGTCTTTTGTTTTATGTTCTGTATAACAGATTCCTCAGTTTGTTCTGGAAGCTGTGGATATAGAAACCCCAGATAAACGTAGGAAAATGATGGTTGCGTGTACTCAGCCTCGTAGAGTGGCTGCGATGTCTGTTTCCAGGCGTGTTGCTGAGGAGATGGATGTGAATATCGGAGAAGAGGTTGGTTACAGTATAAGATTTGAGGATTGCAGTAGCGCCAGGACAGTTTTGAAGTATGTTATATTTTACTGATTAATTCAGAGCTTGCTTTGATTTTTCACTTTCTTGTGCTCTTTTGTTGCTATTGTTGCTAATCGACTGTTATGTTTTTCTCTCCCACTAATAGGTATCTCACGGATGGTATGCTTTTGAGAGAAGCAATGACAGATCCGCTTTTGGAACGATACAAAGTAATTATTCTTGATGAAGCACATGAGAGAACTTTGGCTACAGATGTGCTTTTTGGCCTTCTTAAGGAAGTGCTTAGAAATAGACCTGACATGAAGTTGGTTGTTATGAGTGCGACTCTTGAAGCTGAAAAGTTCCAGGGCTATTTTAATGGGGCCCCTCTCATGAAGGTTCCTGGAAGACTACATCCGGTGGAAATCTTCTACACTCAGGACCCAGAGAGGGATTACTTGGAGGCTGCTATTAGGACTGTGGTTCAGATACACATGTGTGAACCTCCTGGAGATATACTTGTTTTTCTCACTGGAGAGGAAGAGATTGAGGATGCGTGCCGCAAAATATCAAAAGAAATTTCAAATTTGGGAGGCCAGGTGGGTCCTGTGAAAACAGTGCCCTTGTATTCTACACTTCCTCCTGTTATGCAACAGAAGATTTTTGAGCCAGCTCCACCTCCACTAAAGGAGGGAGGGCCTCCTGGAAGGAAGATTGTAGTATCAACAAATATAGCAGAAACTTCCTTGACAATTGATGGTATAGTCTATGTCATTGACCCTGGATTTGCTAAGCAGCAGGTTTATAACCCTCGAGTGCGTGTTGAGTCTTTGTTGGTGTCTCCAATATCAAAGGCTAGTGCTCATCAGAGATCTGGGCGTGCTGGAAGAACTCAACCGGGGAAATGTTTTAGACTCTATACTGAAAAAAGTTTCAATAATGATCTTCAGCCGCAGACCTACCCTGAAATCTTGAGATCTAATCTTGCCAACACTGTTCTTACCTTGAAGAAACTTGGTATAGATGATTTAGTGCATTTTGATTTCATGGACCCTCCTGCCCCAGAGACCTTAATGCGTGCATTGGAAGTGTTGAATTACTTGGGAGCTTTGGATGATGATGGTAACCTAACAAAATTGGGTGAGGTTATGAGTGAATTTCCACTGGACCCTCAGATGTCAAAGATGCTCGTTGTTAGTCCTGAATTCAACTGTTCAAATGAGATTCTTTCCATTTCTGCCATGCTATCAGGTATTGTTCTTTTATTCAGTTGCTTTTATGTCTGTGTAGAGTCCAACCATAATGTTAAGGGGATATATGTTTGCTGGGCTCCACTTTGAAGGGGATGCCCTGCATTTGCACATGTACACATGCACAAAGGCAATATTATGCATATGATGGGGATGTTTGATACTTACACATGTGCTTAGTTGCACATTAATGCGGTTAGTGGAACATGTCCAGTTAGTCATCAGCAACTGTCTTCTCTGGGTTCCATGCCCCCGGTTGGCATGCACCATAGGATTCTAAGTAAATGCTGATGCAGATAGTTGCAGTTTCTCAGTATTCTCTCAATCTCATGAAGAAAATGGTGTCGTCTCGCCACTATGCATCTGCTGACCTTCCGTGGGCCTCCTCTGTGATAATCATTTCTTTCTTTAGTACCCAATTGCTTTGTTCGGCCTAGGGAGGCACAAAAAGCTGCGGATGAAGCAAAAGCTAGGTTTGGACACATTGATGGAGATCATCTCACGCTCTTAAATGTATACCATGCGTACAAGCAAAATAGTAAGTACTTCTTCTGCTAGCTTTTAATTTGTTATGTTGTCAAATTTATTAATTGTATTTGAATGGCTTTTCAGATGAGGACCCTTCTTGGTGCTACGATAACTTTGTTAATCATAGGGCGTTGAAAGCAGCCGATAATGTTAGACAACAACTAGTGCGAATCATGGCTCGGTTTAACCTTAAGTTATGCAGCACTGATTTCAATAGCCGTGACTACTATGTCAACATAAGAAAGGCAATGCTTGCAGGATATTTCATGCAGGTGGCTCATCTGGAGCGGACAGGACATTACTTGACGGTGAAAGACAACCAGGTTTGTTAAGAGCTGCTGTTTTTATTTTATCTTTCTCTTTTCTTTTTTTGCACCACTAAAAGAACTATGGTGAGTGCTGGAAGATTATTTTTTATTACTGATTATGTTTCTTTTCTGAGTAGGTGGTGCACTTGCATCCATCAAATTGTCTGGACCACAAGCCGGAGTGGGTAATTTATAATGAATATGTTCTTACCAGTCGGAATTTTATTCGAACTGTCACAGATATACGTGGAGAATGGTAAGAATTTTATTTGATGTAGTATCTGGATGAGTTTAACAGCCTTGAAATGGTTAAACGTAAATGCATCTATGGTATATTGATATTTAAGGGGAAACCTATTATTGAGGAAAAGAACGCTGAAACTGATCAATTGATTATATTAGTAGTTTTCTATTGTAAATTACAGAAGCTTTTGGTTGTGCTACTGAAATGATATTTCTGTCATCAATTAAGAACTTTGAATGCGATGAAACAGAGGCGAGTTGCAAGACAAACTGACATGATGTTGTTCAGATGTACTTAACCCTGAAAAATTAATGTTCTACAGGTTGGTCGATATTGCCCCAGATTACTATGATTTGACGAATTTTCCACAATGTGAAGCAAAGCGTGTTCTTGAAAGGCTCTCCAAGAAGCGAGAGAAGGAAAAAGAGGAAGCCAGGAGTCATAAATGAAGTCCTACCATCCACGCCTTTTTTGCCTTTGGATTGGAATTGGATCTTTAGTCTCCTGCAATTTAACATCACAATTTCGTCCGAGGAAAGTGTACGAATGCTTACCGTTTTATTTATTACCACTTCTGAAGGGCATATTCTTTGTTAATTTTTAGTGAGAAAAAATAGTTTCGTACTATCTAGTAGTGTATTAGTAACATAATTTATATTCGTCGACTTTCTGTTATTTTTACCGTCGTAGTATTGATTATACTCTTAGCTATGATGCACCGATTTGATACGACTATTGGATCAATATATATTAGAAGCGAGATAAGATACGATAACAATGTATCTCCTTGTATTATAAAGAAAAGATATTGTTTAATATACTATTTTTTCTTTTAATTTTATGTTTATTTTTTTCTCAAGTGAAGTTAATAAATAAAAAATTATCATTTTTCAATCAAATGATTTTTTTTGTTATTTTATTCTCCTTTTGAAAATATTTTCTTTCAAATAAAATTAATAAATAAAAGTAATAAAAAATTGTATTTTTTTAAATATTAAACTATGCTTATTAACTTTTAAAGAAAATTTTCTTAATTATTAGAAAAAACAAAGTAGAAATATAGACATACAACTGTACACGTTTCCCTAGTAATTCATAAAAAAATTATTATATAGAACATATTAAATATATTCAATTTAAAAATATATCCCTAGTAATTCATAAAAGAAAATTATTATACAGAACATATTAAATATATTAAATTTAAAAGTATACAAGAACTAAAAATGTGAAAGTGAAATAAAAGATTCATTCTTATAGCATTTTTCTCCATAGCTTATTAGGCCGAGTTCTGTCCAATAAAAAGAATAGGGGAGTTTTGGGTAATGCATTATAGTTTATTTAATATTATTTATTGTCTAAATAACAATAGTTTCTCTTATATATAATTGAATAATCTGAGTATATTTATTTTATGTATTATTACTATATTGGGAATTTATGCCAAAGAATCTTTTAATTTATGTTAAGATTGGGGTATATACAAATTATAATTAATTAATTATTGTTTAAAAATATAAATATTTTTAATTTTATCTTCTTCTAGAATAATTTGTAAGACAATTTTCATGTCTAGTTCATCAACGAGATAATGTTACCTAATTACTAGTTGTAAATTAGTATCATATAAATTAAGTCTTCTATAATATTAGGATTCTCAACCTCTATTGATATTTTCTGGGGACGATGTGTGGGAGGATCTGCTTATTTTCCAAAAGTAACTAAGGAAGTACAATTTACATGTTATGGTTGTGGTGTATATCATAATTGGATAAAACAAAGCATTTTTTGGGAGTTACCATATTGGAATTCCAACATGTTAAGGCATAATCTTGATGTCATGCATATTAAGAAAAATATGTTTAATAATGTGTTTAATACAATGATGGATATCAAAGATAAGACCAAAGATGATATAAAGGCAAGAATGGATGTAAAAAAGTATTGTCAGAGAAAGGAGTTAGAATTGCAACAATTACCTAATGGAAAAAGTTATAAAACCTAAAGCACAATTTGTCTTATCTAAGGAGCAAAAAAGTGTTGTCTATAGATGGATTAATGAGTTGAGAATGTTTGATGGTTATGCCTCAAATTTGCAAAGATGTGTAAATATAGAGCAAGGAAAAATGATTGGAATGAAAAGTCATGATTGTCATATATTTATAAAGCAGCTAATGCCTATTGCTTTTAGTGCATTGTCAAAACAAATTTGGAAACCAATTGTTGAGTTAAGTAAATTCTTCAAAGATTTTTGTTCAACTATTTTGCTAGTGGATGATTTGTTATTAATGGAACAAAACATTGTAATTACATTATGTAAATTGGAACGATTCTTTCCACATGCATTCTTCAATTCAATGGAACACTTACCTATTCATTTGCCTTACGAAGCAAGAGTAGGAGGTCTTGTTCAATATCGGTGGATGTATCCATTTGAGAGGTCCTATTTTTTAATTATTAAATTTGAACATGCATACTTGTCTTATTTGAAATTATAATAACCATATGATGGTCTTGTATTAGGTACTTGAATAAGTTAAAAAAAATGGTTAAGAACAAGGCACGTATAGAAGGTTCAATATGTGAGGCACATCTAGTGCAAGAGACTTCTCATTTTTGTTCATATTATTTTGAGACTCATGTGCAAACAATGAGAAATAAAGTTAGCCGCAATGATAATGGAGGTGAACATGTAGAACTAAATTGTGTATCAACGATTTTTAATCATCCTGGTCGCTTTAGTGGAAGATCTTCATGTCGATACTTAAACAAGAAAGAATTAGAAGCTGCACATTTGCACGTGTTACTTAATTGTGAAGAAGTTCAACCATTAATCAAGTAAGAATCAAAATTTATTTTGGCATGCATTTTTCATGCATAAAACCACTAACACAATGTTATGTGTAAATGTTAGAATATTTGAACAATTTCTAGAAGCAGTGAATCCAAACATCACTCAAAGAGAAATTGAGACTCGGATGACTTCCGATTTTCCTAGATGGTTTCAAACATATGTAAGTTTTAAAAATATTTTGTAAATCAATGATAAGAATAATTTATGTTCTCACATTAACCTATTCATTCATACTATTCGTTTAGGTCATGATAGGAATAATATGGTTCAAAGTCAATTTTTATATGACTTAGCATGGGGTCCACAAAAAAAGGTTTTTACATGGCCTATTTATTTTGTCAATGGTTTCAAGTTTCATACTGAAGAATGGAGCATTGGAAAGAAAACAGTCAATTGTGGAGTTTGTGTTAAAGGAGATGATGTTGAAAATGAAGAAAACTATTATTATAGTATCATCAAAGAGATTATGCAACTTGAATACATAGGAGAGCCAACAAAAGAATTAGTTGTATTCAATTGCCAATGGTTTGATTCTAAAAGGAATCGTGGTGTACGAGTTCACAAGGAATATGGTATAGTGGAGGTTCATCATAGTAGAAGGTATTTGAATTATGATCCTTTCATACTTGCATCAAATGCAATTCAAGTATATTATATGCCTTATCCTGAAAAGGTTAAGGAAAGGTAGATTATGTTAGACAAATGACATCTAGAGGGGGTGAATAAATGCACAAATTAAAATAGATATCAAATTAAAAATTTATTTGTGAGTCAATAATTTGTTTGAACACAGATAAAACGGAAGCGATAATATAATCAGGAAAAGAGAAAGAGATAGGGGAAAGGGAAGAACACACAAAGATTTATACTGGTTCGGATATAGTCAACCCTACATCTAGTTCCTAGTCAACTCTTAACACAAGAGTGACTTCCAATTCACTATCTTTCAAATTCAGTTTACAAATTACAATTAACTCAGCAGAAGAACCAGTAAAAAGTAAACTAACACTACAAGAAAATTGCATATTATCGACGGATATTTACCGACGGATTTGTAGTCGTCAAAAAATAATCATTACCGATGAATTTAGAATATTTGTAGAATTTGATGCTACCAACGGATATATCCGTCGGTAAAATAATAATTAGTTACCGACGGATATATCCGTCGATAAATTAACAATTAATTACCGACGAATATATCCGTCGGTAAATTCATTTGTAAATTAACAATTATTTATCGAGAGATATATCCGATCGATAAAATTATATAATATAATTTAATTATTCACCTAATTAAAAAATAAAATATTTTTATTTAATAATTTAATTTAATCATAGTTAGATTAATTTATAATAATTTATTAAATTAAATAATTATAAAAAATAAATATTTAATTATATATAAATATATAAAAATATAAAAATATAAAAATATAAATATATAAATATATAAAAATATAAATATATAAATATATAAATATATATTTGTATATTTGTATATAAATATAATTTATTTGTAAATTGTTATAAAAAAAAGTCTAGTAGCTTAGTGGTTGGAGTATCGACCTCCAACACTAAGGTACTAGGTTAATAATTTAAAGCTATAAAAATATAATATGAAGAAATAATTAATAATAAATAATAAGAATATAAAGGGGAGGAGTTCTATAAAAAAATGCTATAAATAAGTGAAAATTTTAATAAATAATAAAATTATTACCGACAGATTTCAGTCCATCGGTAATTTCGTAACATATTTATTGACAGATAAATCTGTCGATAATTATCGACAGATTTTTGGCCGTCAGAATTCCATCGTTAATATTCATTTACCGACGGATTTTGACTGTCGGTAATTTTAATATTTCTTGTAGTGTAATTAAAAAGACAATCACCTCCTTAGAAACCCACTAAGGATGAACACCTCCCTAGAATCCCACTAGGGATGAACACCTCCTCTGAACAAATCAAAGGATGAAAAAATACCTCCTTATAATCCCACTAAGGATGAACACCTCCCTAGAATCACACTAGGGATGAAAACCTCCTTTGAACAACTCAAAGGATGAAAACACCTCCTTAGAATCTCACTAAGGATGAACACCTCCCTAGAATCACACTAGGGATGAAAAACACTTCCTTTGCCACCAATACACAAAGAATGAAGGTAATAAAAATAAGAACAGTCACACCTGGGTAATGGAGACAAAAAATTGTAGAAGTTTGTAGAATGTCAATCTCCAAGAACAAGTGTGATTAACAATGAGAGCACGAAAGACAGTAGAGAATAAGGTTTTCTCGGAAGGTGTAAAATATCTCGTTGTCTTGCTCGAATTTTTTCTCAAAACTGATTGAATGTAAATTGTATTTTTAAATTCCGTAATTGTGTATTTTTTTATTTTTCATCAAAACTTAATTAAATAGAAAAATAGCATCGAGAAAATGGTCGTTGGACATTAATATTTTCGTGAATAAAAATCGGGATATATTAAAAAACATTTATTCTTTAAAACAGATATATTTTTCAAATTTTAATTGCCATAATTGATTATGTTACCGAGTATAATAAATTATGACAGAGAAAATCATTTT